TTGCCCAATTCTAAAATAACCGCTATAGTTACACGCCCCCCCGGTTTATGACGCGGAACGTGACGTTCCGGGTCACGTGGGACGCGCCGAAACCGGAAGTATGACGGCCACCAATAGAAACTGCTCTGAAAGAGAGGCACGCCAGTTTGGTTATTGGATAATGAGATGATTGAAGCACCAATCAAGAGGAAGGACACAGTATTTGAACCACCACAAGCAGCAAACACATCACCGATTGAAAAAGCTGTCACAGTACAGCGAAACGCGTCTCGGCTGGAAGATAGGACTTTTCATTCATTTTTTCTATATTTATATCATTTAGCTTATTTTTGTTTGCATATTCTTATTTTTGTTTGCATTTTATTTATTGAATAAATTTTGTTTTATATTGAAGTCCATCTTCCATTTTTGCTGCTAAAAGAAGGGTGGTAGCCTCCTTAAAGGCACAGATACCTACATACTAGGAGCCAGTTATAAGGGATCCCTACCAGATGAGAAGCCATTTATTTTAATATTCAATACTGAGCACTGGGACCTACTACACAAGGATCTCTCCTCTTCCTTCTTTATTTTTTTCATGTATGTTAAAGGACCCACAGACGAGTAGAGGATCGATTGGGTATTGTGTCGCCTTAAGTGCACACACGCCGCTGTGATCTGAGCCTATCCTATAGGGCTCAGTTATATGTGAGTGGGTCTATATAGTATATTTATTGTGCCTATTACCCAACATTACTTGCACCATTTGTATCTATTTTTGTTTCAGATACACTGTTTCAGGATATCTTTTTTATACATTTGTATGCAAACTCATATGGGTGAGTTGGTTAAAATCTGAGCGCTCCACATATACACCAGTGGTGGTTTTTATTTCTAATTTCCTACACTGAGTGTTCACTTGGTTCACTTTTTATATGTATGCATAGGGTAGAGAGTCCCTATTTACAGTGGAAGCTGCTATAATTATTTATTTCATTATAAAAGATAAGCTCCTTATTAACACACTGCTTCTGCTTTCTGGTTTATTATCACATAGTAGTTTGGCTCCTTTTTAAATCATAATGATAACAGAAATCACGCAAGTGATCAAAAGTTTACATAACCTTGAATGTTTGGCCTTTTTACAAACACACAAGGTGACACACACAGGTTAAAATGGCAATTAAAGGTTAATTTCTCACACATGTGGCTTTTTAATTTGCAATTAGTGTCTGTGTATAAAATAGTCAATACGTTTGCTAGCTTTCATGTGAACGCACTGAACAGGCTGGATACTGAGCCATGGGGAACAGAAAAGAACTGTCAAAAGACCTGCATTACAAAATGCACTTTATAAAGATGGAAAATGATATAAAAAGATATCCAAAGCCTTGAAAATGCCAGTCAGTACTGTTTAATCACCTATTAAGAAGTGGAAAATTCAGGGATCTCTTGATTCCAAGCCAAGGTCAGGTAGACCAGGAAAGATTTCAGCCACAACTGCCAGAAGAATTGTTCGGGATACAAAGGAAAACCCACAGGTAACCTCAAGAGAAATACAGGCTGCTCTGGAAAAAAGAAGGTGTGGTTGGTTCAACAAGCACAATATGACAATACTTGCACAAAAATGAGCTGCATGGCCGAGTTGCCAAAAAGAAGGCTTTACTGCTCCAATGCCACAAAAGAGTCAGCTTACAATATGTCTGGCAACACCTTGACACGCCTCATAGCTTCTGGCACACTGTAATTTGGAGTGATGAGACCAAAATAGAGCTTTATGGTCACATCCATAAGCACTATTGTTATGGACAAAATACTTGAATGGATAAAATGTCTATTTTTCTCTGTACATGTGTGCTCATTCAGTAAATGTTGCCCTTCCCCCTCTCTGTGTGCTCAGTAACTATTTCCTCTAATCCTCTCATCCTGCTCCCCTCCCCCTTCCCATCGAGCAAACCTCGTGTAACAGAATCCTGTGTTAAAGGAACAGCTTCCTTTACTAACCCCTCCCCACTTCCTTTGTGCAACAGCTCTCTGCCATGTGTAACAAAATGGAGAATTGCTGTTAAAGTAACTGTTTCCCCTTCAGCCCCTTCAGCCACTTCCCCCTTCTTTGTTCAGTAACTACTCACTCCCCCTCCAATTGTGTAACCAAGATGGAGCTGGAATGTGGGTGGGAGAGCTCTGTGATGATGACATTACATCCTGTAGGGTGGGTTCAGACAAGACCTCCTAACTTTTAACCAATTGCTGAAAGTATACTTTGTGTAATCTGTGACTATGTACATTATGTATTTCTGCTTTAAAAGGGGCTCCCACCCCTTGGAATAAAGGCCATTCCTCAGGTTTTTCACTAATCAGAAACTTTGTCTCTGATGTGAATTACTTCTAGGAACGCGTGCACGCAATTAATTAATCAATTTGGAAGGAGTAGATAAACAAATAATCAAAGTTTCATTTGATCTAAATCACTATGTTTGGAGAGGGGTCAACAAGTCCTATAGTGAAAAGAATACCATCCCCACTGAAAAACATGGTGGTGGCTTAGTGATGTTTTAGGGTTGTAGCAGTCCCTGGGAAACTTGACTGGTTAACCTCCGCTAATCCCTCCTCTCTGGAACCATTAAACATGCAAGCATCCATTCCCCCAGTAACCACACGAAATATAGTTCTGGGAGTCAAATGAATTTATTCAGGCCACACTTTGCTTTTATGCACA